TAGATGGAGAATGGGCGACAGGAGTGTTGCACAAGGAGAGAAAATCCTAAAGAGGATCACACTTTTAAAACATTTGAGCAACACCACATTAGAAAGGAGAGATTGAGGAGTGGGGTAATTCTCTGAGTGATGCCTACCGAGAGACCAGAGTACTTCTGGCATTTTCTGAGGCACTGTGTTTCTGTTCCCACAATGTTAAGAGCTGAATATTTCATTTCAGGACGAACTGTCCCTGCAAGTACAGCTTTTTGGATGAAAACAAGAGGCCGACTCCCCGGCGGGATGTACCATCCTACCCAAAGGTACCACGCAATGCTTGCTCTTCCCAGAATCCTACCACGTGCTTGCCACCCTGACAAGTGCTGGTTTACAATGCATGACTCCCTAGCCATCTACCTCCTAGTTATTCTAAACCCAGGGCCTGATCCAAAATCCCTGGAAGCTGATGGAAAAAGCTGTCATTGCCTGCGGTGACTTAAAGTTGGATCCTCAGTAGTCTTTAATACTTGAAAGTTCATTAGTGTTTGAAATGTTAGTGAACATTTTGCATTTGTCAACATTTAACGCTCTTTTGTCTAATTATATTTGTTTATTCTCCATGCTCGTAGCAAACAATCAAAAATAGCCTATAATGTTGTACTCTAATTGAAAATAGTGCTGCTGCCTGTTTTCTCCTAATGGATTATTTTTTAATTTAAAAAGTAATTTATGGAGATGCTTCACCTAGGGAAACAGAGAAAATGACACATTGGATTCTCTCCAGAATGATTCATTGTCCCTGTGAAAATGAGTTAGTGTATTTGCTAGAGAAAACAGTAATGCTTGAAGAAAAACGTCTGCTGGGCAAGTACAAGTACAAATCCACAGTGATGAATGAGGCTGAAACCATGAAGCACATAGGATCTTTGGTCCTAGCACCGACAGTCTTTGCCCACAGGAATTACTCAAAGCTACCAGGTTTTGTCTGCTCAGTGCCCGGCTCACACCTTGACAAAACACCAGCTCACACACGTGCAAATCATAGTTTAACAGAGGGCATTTGCCTGCACACATCACAGCTGGCTGAGCCGCTCTCAAGTTCACGCGGTCCGGTGTGATGCAGGTGTATGATATGGACATGCATCCTGGCATATTTGTCTTCAGGGCCTTACAGAGCAACAAATTATAAGTTCTGCTGTTTATTCTGCTCTGCCTAGCAAAAGTGACCTCTAGGTCTCTGAAGCAGACATCAAGAGATTTACATTTCTTTTAATTAACCTTTGCCCAAGAGGCTTGTGCTCCTGACACTAACACGTTTTTGCAAAACGTATCAGTTCTAAAAGTTATTTTTTCCCTTGATAAGTATATATGTCAGCTCAACCTTTGATCTACTGCTATGATATTAGGATCCTGAATTAACAAGTGCAACAAAGAGTTGTACTGACTGCAGAGTAAACTGGTAGTCTGTGTTGTCCCTAGACCAAAGCTCGTCGGAGTTTTGGTTTCAGAAGTTTGGGTTCTGTTTGACAGATTTGCAAAATCTGTTATCAGTTGTCAAGTGCTGGATTTGTCCAATGTCAGTGAGGCTAGGAAGTGATGAGGACACTGAAAGAAGATGTCATTGCAACACTGTTATCAAATAACAAATCTGTACTGCTAATTCACGGATTTCTTGCAGAACATCATGTTAAATGTACATTATATAGGCAAATGCAAAAATCATTGCCTTCTCCAGAAGGAAAATTAATCTTCAGTGTTATTCTTCTTTGGATTAAGTATCAATAATTTGATGGCTCTGAAAATTTCATTCACCTGCTCAGTACAGTAAGCCCAAACTAATTAGAGACAGCCATGGTAAATGGGCCAATTAAAGCTACAAGGGTTTTGTGTCCCAGAAAGACTCTGATCAATAGTCTCAAAAATAGAATTCGGTAGAGTCCAGATCTCCCCTGGTCTTTTAACCCTCCACATTCCTTTTTTTTTATTTTGTATACAAATCATAACTGGCCAATGAGCTTGATTTTGTTTAAAGCCTCTGAGCATAATGATAAAAAATCATTTGAATCTGGCAGGCTAACAACCAATTGGGAAATGTGGGCATTCTTGAAAAAATACTCAAAATGAGAGCATAAATCATCTGAAAGTAAATATATCATACCCACCAGCTAATTTAACACTATAAGCATAGACACTTCACAGCATCCAGCCACGACTGGCTGCACTGAGTCTGCAGGCAGCAAAACCAGTGCAGCCAGGGATGGATCTGTGCCCTGCGCCCCTTACATCCCCTTGCTGGATCTGCCCACAACCCCGTCCATAACACCTCCGCTCCCCTCCCTTTTCTCCCAAACCCTCCACCTCCCTGCTCCATAAGGATCTCCACCGATCAGTGGACTGCCAGCTGGTGCCGTGGCAGGCAGCGAGCTGCCTGGGGGCTTGCTGCCTGCCAGGCGTGGGCATCCTGGTGTGACCATGAGCAGCCGGTGGGGAGGGAAAGAAGAGCTGGGCAGGCAGAGGGAGAGCTCCGTGGCTCTATCCTTGGGAAATACAGCTAAACTCCGCATGAATGGGACCCCAGGAGTCCCAGGGGCATGCTGACGGCAGGTCCCACACCAGGGCAGGAGACCCTCACTGACACCGGCTGCCATTTTGTCTGCAGTACATGCTGTCCCAGGAGACCATAGAAGCGCTTCGGAAACCAACCTTTGACGTCTGGCTGTGGGAGCCCAACGAGGTAAGGATACCATGTTAGCTGGGTTAGCACTCTTTCTGAGAGCCAACAAGGCCAGAAAAGCCCTTTGAGATGGTCTGCAGGGCTTTTGCCCTTTTCTGCCCCTTAATCTCTATATTTTTTTTATTTTCATGTCACACCA